AGAAGGAGACTGTCTGATGGTCATTAGGTATTATCCTCAAGGGCCTCTATTCGTGGTAGGAGCATGTAGGAGTATGTACAGTTGCTCATGACTCACCCTGTATGTATATCTGTCAATAAGGCCTTATTTTGCAGTCAGCTAAATTGACAGAAACAAATTTTCAATTCCAATTTTTCACGAATTTTCCGTTATAAATATCAGTTCAGCGTCTTCGTGCGAAGCAAGTGCATCGCGTCGAATCCTCAATTCACCTGCATCGGCGGCGGCGGCACCGGAAGTGCGATTGGCCCGCGGGAAACCGGCCGCCGCCAATAAAGAGCGACCCCGCCTCCCTTCCTTCCGGTGTCCGATATCCATCCACTTTGCATACCGTCGCTCGCGTCTCGGCGGTTTAGCGTCCCACCCCTCGCCAGCCGCCTCCAGCGAAAAGTGCACGTGAGGCTTTTGAAATTTTGATGTACGCGAGTCGGTAAACAGTTCGGCGACGTGTACAGGGTGGCCAACTAAGACTCCAGAGTTTGATTTCTCTGTTGTCTTGAGAGATACAAAAAAAGCTTCACATTTCAACATTTCTTTGAAATACACAGGGTGTTCCGTAAGGTCACAGCACATCAAAGCTATGTTTTTTTCATTGGAACACCCTATATTTTATTTCATTTTTGAATTCTCCCTGAATATCTGATTTCAACGACCCATTATACTTAGGGTCTGGCAGTGGAAGTTACTGACATATAGGGTGTGCAAAATCGAGATTTTCCAAGTTCAGATTTTTTTTCTTTCGAAACTGTTCATTATTCGTCAAAACGGTTTACATGTCCCTATCTCAACTTTTCACTCAATATCAATTGGTGTTCAATTGACATTGATACAAGGTGGTCAAAAAATCTTAATTTATAATTTGTTTCAATTAAATGTCAATTGAACACCAATTGATAGTGAGTGAAAAGTTAAGATAGGGACATGTAAACCGTTTTGACAAATAATAAATAGTTTCGACAGAAAAAAATCCTGAACCTGGAAAATCTCGATTTTGCACACCCTATATGTCAGTAACTTTCACTGCTAGACCCTAAGTATAATACGTCGTTGAAATCAGATCTTCAGGGAGAATTAAAAAATGAAATAAAATATAGGGTGTTCCGATGAAAAAAACATAGCTTTGATGTGCTGTGACCTTAAGGAACACCCTGTGTATTTCAAAGAAATTTTGAAATGTGAAGCTCGGTTATCACTTGAATTTGAATGCGAAACTTTTTTTTGTATCTCTCAAGACGACAGAGGTATCGAACTCTGGATTCTTATAGTTGGACACCCTGTACAGTGTGTCCAGTTTTCGATGCTTTTGCATGATATCTCAGTTATCTTTGAAGATAGAACCTTGCGGTTTTCGCGGTCCATTGCCACTTTTTTATGAAACTCAAGATGGCCTAATCAGGTTTTGCAGGACTGTTACCGTTTATGAGATACAGGGCGATTTATACTTTTTGGACCCCCTCTATATCTACGAAGTGCATCAGCGAAAAATGTCTGATTAAAATCTTAACCCATAGAGAATTTTATGCAGAATCCAGTGGCGCACTGATTTTTTTTTCGGGGTATGGTTTTGAAGATACGACTCAAACTTATGATTTTCTAAATTGAACACCCTGTATTTTATAAGCTCATTGAATTCCTTATTTTTTTCCTTCCGGAATGATATATGATGTATTAATATAACATTTTAAAAAATGTTCAAAAATCACTAAAACATTGAATTCTAATAGTGGGCTATGGGTTTTTCGAGGGATTTTCATATAAAGAAATTTACAATTGAGGAAATATTTCCTTCGATTGTTCCATGAAGGGGGAAATAACAATTTCAACACTAATTAACTTGCAAAACACAAGACTTAGAGATACCTGATATCCACAAATATATAGTAATAAAAAGTTTATAATGTAGAATAAGCACCTGATTGAATATTTACTAAAACAATTTAATTTCGAGATTATTCAGTGATTTATTCATTGAATTGTTCAAATTGATGTCCATTTTACATCACAAACTTTCTCAATACATATTAATCATTGAAAGATTTCTTTGTAATTCCTGGAAAACTGCCTCTGTTGTTGCACAAAGTTCTCCCAGTATGTTGGGCCACTCACTGTATTAAGTTTGTCAACTGTATGTTAGGGAAAATGGATATCAATTTGAACATGTCAATGAATAAGTTACTGAATAATTCCGGAATTCAATTGTTTTAGTAAATATTTAATCAGGTGCTCATTCTACATTATGAACCTTTTATTACTATTTATTTGTTGCTATCAGGTACCCAAGTTTAGTGTTTTGTTAATTGATAAGTGTTGATATTGGTTTATTTGACCTCTCCATGGACAAATTTGAGGAAATATTTCTTCAATTGGAATGTTTTTTATAAGAAAAATCCATAACCAGCTATCAAAATTCAATATTTTAGTGATTTTGAGCAATTTTGAAAATTTTATATCAATTCGTTATACAGTGTGTCCCACTTACCATGCTCACCATGGGTATCTTTTTAACGGTGAGAGATACAAGGTCGATTAAATGACACCAAATGTGGAGTTTGTCATGGCCAACTATAATGTGAAAAAATATTTTGATAAAATATATTCGTTTTTGTTTTATACGCAAAAAACAGATTTTGATCATTTTCATGTCTCCTCCGTAACTCCTTTATTTATGAAAATATTCAAATAGGAATTTCACATTCTCATGGCAGTTTTCCAAAGTGATTTTGAAAAAAATATGAAATTTATACCAACTCTTCTAGAATTTGAGATATCAGCACCAACTTTATAGTTTTTCAAATGTAGGTCATAGCTCACTATGACTTAGTTACAAATAACTTTTTTTTCTCTTACAGATGATATGTCGCAGTAATAGTTTTGTGTTGATAACAACGGAGTTATCGTCATTTATACAAAAATAAAAGACTATTTGGAGGCCGCCATCTTGAATTTATAAATTTCATCATAGAAATCATGATCTCCGACCTCAAAAACCGCCACTTAACAATTTTTAATGGAATCGGACCAAATCTTGTCCGCCATCTTGGAGCAGCCATTTTTTAATTTCATCAAAAAATCCATAATGTATTTGTCATCGAAATTATGAACACCTGCCAACTTTCAAGTTAATCGGAGTTATGGAATTTTTGTTGAAATTAAAAAAAATGGCTGCTCCAAGATGGCGGATAAGATTTGGTCCGATTCCATTCAAAATTGGTGAGTGGGGGTTTTTGAGGTCGAATATCATGATTGTTTTTTTAAATTTATAAATTCAAGATGGCGGCTTCCAAATAATTTTCGTATCACCGTTGAAAAGATATCCATGGTGAGCATGGTAAGTGGGACACACTGTATATCTACGAAGTTCATCAGCGAAAAATGTCTGATTAAAATCTTAACCCATAGAGAATTTTATGCAGAATCCAATGGAGCACTGAAATTTTTTTTCGGGGTATGGTTTTGATGATACGACTCAAACTTATGATTTTATAAATTGAACACCCTGTATTTTATAAGCTCATTCAATTTCTCATTTTTTTCCCTTTGAGATGATATATGATGAATGAATATAAAATTTTCAAAATTGTTCAAAAATCACTAAAACATTGAATTTTAATAGTGGGTTATGGCGTTACCACCGATACAACAAGTCCTCTAGTTTTTGTTCACCAGTAGCAACTTCATGTAACTCATTTGCTTTTAATAGGACAACTTCTTGAAAATTCCAAACTTGAAAGGATTCCACACCATCCAATTCTTCAATCTGTTTGATTTCCTCTTCCTCTGCTGTCAACATTTCGTTTTTACTTCTTATTTTTATTTAATTTTTTTACTACAAATAAGTTGTTGATTTATTTCAGAATATCCTGGGCATTAGTTTGATAACCTGTTCAGGATTATAATTTCGTATTATTTTATATGGTTTCATTTTATTTTTCTTGAATAAATTGAAGCTATTTCATAAAATATTTTATTCAGAACCTTCAATACATCTATCTGAATTTCAACAACTTATTCCATGACTACAAAAACAAAATGTACTGAAATCCAACATCTACCATCTTGATAATCTTGATATTTCACAACACTGACATATTGACAAACTTGCAGAATTAATCATTCACAGGATGTTTTTAATAAAAAATATTCTCAACAGTCTATACTAGAAAATACTGGAGAACTGTGAATTTACATTACCTACTTCACCGACTGCTGTACTTCATTATCGTCCTAGGGGGCTAAAGTGCTATACTTTACGCCGCGAAGCCGGGCGATAAAGTGCCATATTTTACGCCCGGTCGTGCATTAACAATATAGCTGACATTTTTCTGAAGCCCACTAAGTTCAACTTACATCATGTGATATGAGTATGTTGATCATCTTTACTCGTCAATAACTCATTTTCGATCCAAATATGCAAGTTATTGTTGGTATCAATTTGTCAACAAATAAACATAGTGTTCCGATTGAGAAATGAAAGACCCTACAGTATACCAATACATTTCTGGAAATCAAAAGGTAAGCTGGGTATTCCATCCAACTTTAAAATTTTTCGATTTTCTGTAACTTCGTTATTGTTAGAGAAAACCCGCTATTCAATATTTTTTCCCGAATTCTCGTTGGAATAATTTGAGAAAGATGCAGTTCCTTTTCCGAGAGATGCTGATGTTTCGAATTTTTCAACACCGAGTTACTTGAATATTGCAATTTATCTCAGAAGAAGTAATTGAGAATTCATTTTTATTCAAAGAAATATTGAGGTCGTTCCTCAGAGCGTTCAAGTGAAATTTTCCATATACTCAAATTATTATAAAAAGTAACTTTTCCATCGTTAGTGTAGAAAAATTATGTTGTTTGGATGGAAAAATCTGTTGATTTTCCAATGTTAATAAGCTAGTAACTAATAAAACGATCACACGACGTTTCACTTTGTATGTTTTAATATCTGATAGTCTGTCAACGCCACACTTAAATTTGTCAGTACAATATCACTTTCTGTAGTGACAATTATCAAAATTTCCCGAAGCTCGTCAATTTTTCGTGATCAAATAAAATTATCAATGAAAATGGGAGAGTCGAAGAAGAAGGTGAAAAAATTCAAACCAGCGAAGCGGTTCCGATATCTGCCTGGATCTATCGACATTCATACAAATTCTGTAGACCTGAAATGCTACAATTCTCATCGATACAGAGTAAGAGTTAGAACATCATCAAAGAATTATCGCGTTATAAACAAAAACCTAGTGGGCAAACTATAATATTTTCTGTCCATTGATAAAATATATGGAAAAGTTGCCCTTATTGACGATATTTTGAGTTAACCAGTGACTTCTCTATTTCGAACAAATTTATTCATTTGATATCCTCACCGTAGAAAATGTCCGTATCCCTGCTAAGATTCACCTTTCTGTCAAGTTTGGAGAACAGAAGATTTTCAAGAATGAAAGTTTCGAGTATAAGAGGTAAGCCAACAGAATTCCCTTTTAATCTTCTCAGGAAAAATGAGAACTCACACTAAGCCAGGCCAACGCTTTCTATGAAGATCTTGCTCGAATTATAGCCTGTATAGATTCAACAACCTTGTTGAATTCAACGCCACCAGAACTCAAACTTACATTTTCTCTAGATAGTGTAGTAGATATGCGATAAAAAATGGTCTCAGGTGGAAATAATTCCCACAAAATTTTTTTCTGCTTTTCTCAGTTCAGAATGCATAGAATATCACATATGAGAAAATATAGAATGATACCTTCGTGCAAAATAAAAATACAGTGTTTCCAATATTCGTTTATTCGTTAATACGTTTAGGTAAATCATAAACCTAATGAAAATGGCATATTTGGCATGTAACAGAAGTTCATTCATTATCTTCAACTTCCTCGATTGGAATATTGGTATACCTTCCCGAACAATTATTGTACAATACTGTGCAAAAAATTCCGTATCGTCGTCATTTACATCTGGTTTCACAAGGTTCATCTACTTCAGTTTTGCAAGTTCTTCCGTACGTCATCATATGATACAGAAAACCCAAGCTCATGAAGTTCATCGACAAGTAACCGAGATCGAAAAATCTTGATTATACTGCACACCAACACCTAGACGAATTGAAATGATAGATCGTGGCCTTGCAGCATGCATTAATTAGTGCCTATTCAATTGAATTTTTCTTCAATTTTGGGTATTTTTTGTTGATTATTATTTCCAAGAATATTTTCAAAATGTCGGGTAAAAGCTTATTATTTTCCTGCTCGCAGGCGCGCATCCAAGGGGGGGGTAAAGGGGGTAATTACCCCCTCCAGGACACGGAGGGTATCAGGGCATCGGCTAAAAGAAATTTCCTTCTCAGCCAAAAATTAGGTAATACTCAACTCAAAACTCTTTGTGATACTAGATAGGTAGATAGGCACGAATCAGTGCTGCAATTTAGAAGTTGCTTTGAAAGCATTTTGTTGATTTGCTCACAATCATTTCAACTTGAAAAGATCGCAATTCATCGTCTGAGGCTGAGATTCTCAAAACTGGAATTACTTCTACAGAATTTATTGTTTCTCTTTATAGCTTGAGTGAAATTTTAGCTTTAACAGTTAATGTAAGTAAGATTTTACAAACAAAATCAATCGACAGACAATATGCTGGTAAAGTTATAGAAAATGTAATTTTGGTTTTGGAAGAAAAACGAGGCAATGCTGAGCGTCAATTTAAAGCTATTTTCAAATTGGTTTGTGATATTCATCATGAAAAAATGGAGATAGATATTCATAGTCCAAGAATAATAAAACGACAAGTATATCGTAGTAATATACAAACAGAAAATGTTGAAACTTACTACAGGCTCAAATTGTACATACCTTTGTTGGATCATGTTACGAACGACTTTCGTTTTTTGGTTTGATGTAGAGGGACTGAATACTTTTGAGTTCAATATATTTTTCATTCAATTTTTTGTTCAAGAAATCCCAATGCACTTACTAAATCACTTCAAACAATAAGAGACTACATCAATAGGTTGCATGAGAATATGAGCAATGATATAACTATCATAAAACTAAATTATGAGTTTGATCTCTTTATATCTTGTGATGGAGATATGTTTCCCATTATTGAACAATGCCTACAAATACTTGTTGTTGTTGCCTGTTAGTGTGGCTTCTGCGGAAAGGAGTTTTTCCTGCCTTAAACGGTTGAAAACTTGGCTACGCTGACTACGCTCAACCATGCTGCAAGAAAGGCTTTCAGGTTTGGCAATGCTATGCATACATAGAGAGATTCAGGTAGATGTCGAAGATGTTATTAATCGATATGCTACCAAAAAAGACTAGACTAGACTTTATTTTGTAATCTCCTCTTTCCAAAGAGTTTTTTTGTTATATTTTGAGATGTTTTTTGTTATTTTTGTATTTTATTCTTGTTTTATTTTTGTTCAAATGTTGATGAACATTATTGTTATGTTCTTGATTTTTTTATTCGTTTTTCATTTTCAGTTTCCATACTCAATGATAGGTTTCTGATTCCTATATATTTTATGTGTATATATCATATATTAAATATATCTACCTGATTATTGGACATCTACCCCTCCCAGAACTAAATCCTAGATGCGCTACTGCCTGCTCGGAACTTATTTCTTCTGGGATAACAGATAAAACTCTAAGGATGTTCTCATCAACTTGATTGAATTCTTAATCAGTTTAGCTGTTGCTTCAACTATCCGAAATTTTTCAGCATCAGGATCTTCTGAACACTTCTGTCGCTGATAATCACGAATTATATTGGCAACTGTTTTCCCTGTTATGATGATATTAGCTCTACCTTTTTGTCTCAATATCATAATGTCATCCGAGAAATATTCTTCTAATTTTTTATGCATACGACGAACAGTGTAAAGTTCAATATTTTCTGGGAGCAGCTCTGCCATTTTGTCCAGCAACTCCTGAACTGAAATTGGTTCATCATTTTTCTTCAGCCACCTGTATATTTCTAAAAAGGCATCCTCTTTATTTTTATCAGAAGGACGTCCTGCTAACTTTGTCTGTTCATTGGGAATATCATGTTAATGTTTCTTAGGAATAGAGTCGCCATTTCCAAAATTCACACTACATTTGTGATTATACAGAGCATCTGCTGCTGGCAAGTATCTATAACGGAAAGAAGTCGTGCAAGGACATTTGATGATCAAAAATCGTTTCTTGCATCACATACATCAATATTAGTTTGTCGAAACGCGAAAGTTCGTACTGGTCAAATTGCAGATTTAATTATTTTCTCAGTTTCCTTGATGAATTGGCCACAAAACAAGCAATTATCTTTGAACGCGAATGTCGGCAGCTCAGATCACAAAGCTCTGTTGCTGCTGCTGCTGCTGCTGCTGCTGCTGCTGCTGCTGCTGCTACTAGTTGATGCTTCCCTATCAGGATCTGATTTAAACCTGAGATCATTCTTCATCTTGTTCGGATTTACGTAAAAACGACGACATTCGACATGAACTATTAGAGGATAGGCACTGATTCCTAGAGTTCAATTATTTTGTCTTGCTTCTACTTGCTAGCACTTATAATTCCTTGGACACCTTTAGCAGTCAATTCAACACAATTCGAACTATCATCAGAACTTAACGAAAATAATAAACATTTGTTATGTTCCATCGCTGATTGTTATTTACTATATTCAGGTATACCTGGAATGATATATATCAAATAATGGAACCTTTCATTCACGATCAAAGAGAGTAGTTTCAATCACATACCAAAATGATGACCTCGACACGAATTTTGTGATCTGCTAACCATATTATCATTTTTAGGAAAATTATGAAATTCGTTTGAATCTCATACTAAAGATCCTAACATAGGTAGCGGAACATGTGTTGAGTTGTGAAAAAATCATTTCGGTTTGGGCACCTGAAATATGAAAAGTTGCATTAAAACATTTTTGCATGCATTTTTAATATAGTGTAAGGGGTCGAATGTGGCTTCAGAAAATGAAAACTGCGTTTTTGTGGAAATTATTTCCACCTCAATTCCTCCAACTGCTCTACTAAGATCTCGTCACAGAAACTCGCATTTTTATTCCGTGCGAAAATGTACTATACACCTCAACAGCATTTCATGATCTAGAAAGCACAGATATACGGCCTGATCTAGAATACTGTTCCTACATATGAGGCAGTGTTCACAAACTCAACAGAAATGTGGTTCTTGACAGGAATACGAGGAATTTCAAGGGTTAGGATTAAAAATGAATAGAAAATATCGTCGATAAGGTTGAATATTATACATTTAGCCTCGTAGGTTTTCATTTAAATCAGCAATTTCTGAACATAACAATTAAGTTGAAATTCCTTTTTTTTTTCAAAATAGCCCAGAGGATGAAATTGGAATATCAAGAAAATAAAATATAAATTTCTAGGTTTTCAATGCAAGGCCCCATGTAGACTGTTGTCCCCTACCACTCAATCCGTACAATTTGATAAACATTTGTAAACTGAAAAATGACCTATCACGATCGGAGTTGATAGACAAACAGAACAAGGAACTTCTCAAGAAAATCAATATGATCAATCGAAAAGGAGTATGAAGGATGTGAAGTGAGTGAGATGGATAGTCAGAATAATTTTTGTTATTGTTGCAGGGAAAAGTCGACACTTACAATCCAATAGCATACAGGAGATCTAACAAATGGCAATCTCATGAAATCGAAATGAAAAAACTAGTGATGGAAAATAAGGATTTATATAAGTTGTTCATAACGAGTGTAAGTACCAGTTTGGTGCAATTGGGTTGTACACACACGGAAAAAAAGGATTTGTTGCATCAACAAATTGATTGAATGATTGTCTTTATTACACCAAGAAACATAGTTGTTTATAATAGGGATACATAAACAATATACATTATGCTAAGCATACAATTATGAAATTATAATACGATTTAACAAGTATAAAAAAATGCAAATAATCATGTAATATCAACCTTGTCTTTTATAAGTAGGTATTCAAATAAGAAATGGAATTATCAAAGTCTCTGGAGCAGATATAATTTCAAGTTCATTTTGAATCTATACTTGCTCCCTGTATATTGATTGATTGATTGTCTTTATCACCCCAAGAAACATTTCTGTTTATGATAGGGATACATAAGTACATATAAAAAATAATAATAAAGGGTTAACTGATGAATTACACTCAGTGTTAACGAATTAATATTGTTTCTTAAGATCAAAGTTATATTTCATTTCTATAAGTAATCAAATCATGCCACATATTTTTCATTAAAATTGTCCTGAGCAAGAATTTTTTAAGATTGATTTTAAACCTTCTTGCATCATGTATATTTTTCAACTCATTCGGTGATGAATTGTATGAAATCATTCCATTGAGAAAAACATATTGTTTGCCAATATTTGACTTGAATGTATTTGCTATCAAGTAATTCAATTGTCTAGTCCCATATTTATGGACTGTATTGACTTCATTAAAAGCTGAATTTGATATTTTCAATTTATTCCTGGCAAAATGAATGAAGCAACATATTCTAAGTTTATATAACGAAATCAGGTACAGAAAATGTCTTGCTTTGTATATATTTATCGTTGGTTCTAGAAAATGTAGATGAAAAATGAACTTAATCGATTTGTTTTGTAATTTCATTAGTTGGTTCAGACGTGAGATATTTGTACTCCCCCGAATAGAAATTAAATATTGAAAATTTTAATAAGTGAGGCAAAAGTAAATACATTTCATGTATTTTGTGAAAATAATATTTCGGCTGAGCAATGCTTATTCCATGGAAGCAACTTGTTCAAATCAAGAATGTAGTCTGATTAAATCAATACTATAATATCATTTCCATCAACAAAATACATGGTCTCCTAAGAAACAAATTATGTCCAAAATAATGTCGATGTTGATTCAACTATAAACATTTTTTGAAAAGGAATATTCTCAGATAAATTATGGACATACAAAAATGGATATATGTTTATTTATATGAAGCAATACATTGAGAATTCGCATTCTCTATGTGATGAGAATATCTACTCTTTTTCAGTTTATTCAATAGAAAACAACTACTTTCCTGGCTATATGCCACGACGAACATTGAATTATATCTATTGAACACATACGATAAGAGTTTGAAAATTATATATAAAAACTTCTGAAATTGAGAATTTGCATTCTCCTATACATTTTAATTTTCATTTCAATGCTGGGTGCTCAGAGCAAATGTACTAAAATAATTTTTACAGAGAAAAAAAATTGAAAAATTGTAAAAATTATTTTAATACATTCGCTCTGAGCACCCGGTATTTCCATATTTACCTTTTCGTGCGTAAAAAGATACGCCCTCTTCCAATTTCGACGAAATAAATGTATGTGAACATTATGAGATTACCGTAAGCCGCGAGGCATGAAACAATAACCAGTACTTTTCGAATTACCTATCTTGAAAACAAATAATTTTATCGGAATTTTACAAAAAATACTCAAAAATGATTGAACACTTGAAGAAAGATAGATAAGAAGTCATTAGCGCACGAACAAGAAAAATATGGGGGTAAGTGTGTACTTGACCCCCAGTATTTTGAATATTTGACAGTTATTTTCTGTTTTGTCTTCCTCACACGATGTAACTCTTTGTGCTGAAGTAATGTCTAATGTACTCTAAACTCATATTATTTTTGTTCAAGGAATATATGGTTACTGGATTGACCTCCTTTTAGCGGACACCCTGTATACACGGTGAGCCAGAATAATACCAACAAACTTCGTCCACGGATTCATCACCTCATTTTGAGGTGGCAAGTTCCTATCGACGTATGTCTTAAAATGCATCCTCACTGAGATACAGGGTGTCGAAAGTACTTAAAGATTCCTCTCAATTTCTCCTCAAAATTTTTCTCAGATTTCTTGTTCATATTCATGATTCATCTGATAATATTTCTTTCCAATACTTTCACCCAATCAAGGGGTTGAAACTTGAACGATGGAAACTTAGTATTTTCATAGACCTTCAATCGCAGTCGTGATCAGGATTTTTCATTTCAGAATTTCTTTCCACGTCCTGTATGCTGAATATCAATTCGTCATTCATCCAAAAACCACTTATCTCACTCCGAAATTGCTCTATTTTCAAGATGAAGTTGAAAAATAAAATTCAAATCCTCCAAAATGTATGAACCTTCCAAAATTTTGTACTTTAAAAATTGGTAGTCGAGGCTTTTTACGATGCCAAACGCGAATACGACACCTTTTCACTGTGATCATTAGATGGCTCTTACTAATGCACTTCTCATGGTTTAGAATGACCCTAACTTTTTGCTCAGTGTAATCCTTGCCTTTTTTTGCTAGTAAAATAAATTTCTGAATATTCCTAAGCAAAAAATGTACTCCTGTGAAAATTCACTAATGTAAGTCGTTTTCGATATACTTGTTTCGGTTTTTCGTGTTTGTTGATATCTTCGTGAATGAAGTTTGGTCAGTAAAATGAGGAGTGCGAAAATGAATCTTTCAAAAAGGTTTTCTTGGTGTATACTTGTCGATTTTTATTTTTTTAATTCTCCCCCCTGTATCTCGTAAACAAAGCAATTTCGGAATGAGGTAACTTGCTTTAAACAGCCTATTTTGACCACAGGACTATGTGCTAAGATTTTGTACAGAATTTTTATGGATACCCTGTATAATCTGTGACCTGTTTTTTGTCTGAAGAGCTCGAGCATTGGCAATATCTTCATCAGAAATTCGAAGAATCTTCAGTAAGAAGCCAATCAGCTATACTTTCAATATTGAATGATTGTTTTGACCTAAGGACTATATCCGTGCTAAGATTATCCACAGACTTCTTAGGGACACCCTGTATAATCTGTTGCCTGATTTTTGTCTGCAGAGCTCAAGGATTGAGAATATCTTCATCAGAAATTCGAATATATTCAGTAAGAAGCTAATCAGCTACTTCCATTATTGAATGATTGTTTTCCCAATCTTCTTCATCTAAACTCACTTCTTCGTCTTCTGTATCCTCCCCGAATCCATTGATGTCAGAATTATCAGTGTCAAATAATTCGTGTGATAATCTCTCATCTATAGTAGAGATTATCTCTGTCTATAGCAAATATCGTTGCCGATTGAAATTTTTTGGAATATGCCTATATTTTATCGATATTTGTGAAAAGTTACTTGACAGAATAACTTTAAAATTGCCACAAATACCCAATGTCCATTTGAATCTTCCAATAATTTCACCTCAGAAAAAAATGGTCATACTTACCAATTCTTTGAACTAAATCATGACCTGGTTAATTAATCATGTTCCAATAAAACTTGATCACAAAAAGATAATAAGAAAAGCAAGTACTTTTTGTTTGTCAGAAGTTGTTTTCTCACAAGACGTCATGACAACAATAATGTCATTTTCATAGAGAAACGCATTAAACGCAAATTTTATAAACGTCCATTCCAATTGACGCACGGTCCCAGGAGAATAAAATGAAACCATTAGTATATTATTATTTCAATATATTTTTGTGATGATGATTCGCCTCAGAATGTCACTGGCTCAAAATTCACTCTTGGAAACCTAACAGATGATTTGAATCTATATATAGCCCGTGACATCTTGCTCGAAAAATTATTGACGGAAAAGAATCAACCTAAAGATAGTATATGAAAACATTGATCCTAATCAAAATTCGCATTCCGTTTCAGAAATCGTATTACCAGAGCGACATTTTCAACGAACAATGGCAACGCACTCTGAAACAAATGATGCACGGTTGCAGATTTCCTGTAGTCATCATGAACAAAATGTCCGTCGACAATGAGCTGCAAAGTCAACCGTCCATCAGCGAAGGGCTTGAAAAGGGCAACATCGTGAGGCCTCTGTAAGTGATTAACAATCAGCAGAGGTTGTATTTGTTTTGATTTCTTGTGTTTGGAGCGCACGAGAGAGAATCCGTATTATGTTGGAGAAACACGGTGTGTATATATGTACATGGGGAGGATATGGAGATAAGTAAGGTATATTAACTATCTCATAAATATTTGGGGATCTTGTTCCAAAAATAGTTTCAATAAAATTTCTGTTCTATATAAAAAGGCATTGAAAGTATTGTATCGTCTTCCATATGATACTCCAACGAATCAACTGTATAAGGAAACAAACACATTTTATTTGGAAGAGCACTTTTTAATCAATACTCTCAAAATTTCCTATTATATCATCAACAATTAAAAAGCTTAAATCAAATTTTATATTAATCAGGAATTCCGAAATTCATGATCATCACACTAGACAATATAACTTGTTTCATCTTGAAGCTGCAAATTCTAAACTTGGACAAAAAAAGTTTACACATGAGGCGATTTCGAAATTCAATAATTTACCAGATGATATCAAAAACAGCCCAAATATTATGCAATTCAAAAATAGAGTTAAGAAATATATTTATATGCAAAGGAATGATCAAAGCTGAAAGACTATGAATTTTCTTTTTTTCTTTTTTTTTCAATGTTTTTATTTTTCCCCTTCTTGTTCACTATAATATGACTGTATCTTAATGATATGTAAGTTTTGTTCACTATTTGTAATTTCAATTATACAACAGTCGATAATACTTCATAAATGATCTTATACCAGGAATTACTGTCTGATCATTCATGTCATTCCTACTAGAAAATTAATTATACTTTATATATTATTTGTATGAAATGTATCAATGAAAAAGAGAATGTAATGCAATAACTGAAATAAATAAATAAATAGTGGAAATTATTATTCAACTTTTGAAGACTGGGCTTGTTGAGCTTGTTGAGTATGTCTGATTGGTATTGCTAGTGATAAAATGATCACTGAGATTCCTGAGGAACATTTCATTGGGAGAGAAAGTAACTATGAAAAAGTGAGAGGTTGTCGATTTTTCTAGGTTATAATGGCTTGTCTCTGGATGGAATCTAAAAGCATCAGCCTGTATGTTTGGGCGCTGAACCCCATATGTCCGTATCTGTGCTTTGTAAATCATGGGAAGCTGTAAAGTAGCTTTTTGCAAGAAACAAGAGTCCGAGTTTTTGTGAATCAGCTTTCGCTATGGATCTGACATGACTATCCTATGAAAGATTATTGATGATGCCCTAACAACACAGGGATGTCCTAGGTACGTCCCTTTTTTGTCCCGCGGTACAAGGACATGATTGGGGCATCCAGGAGATGTCGCGCAGTGGTTGTCCAGTGGACATCCCGCCCGGTACATCCCTAGGTTATCATATTCGTGTTCCTGGAATATATGATATCCATTCACATCAGAGTCATTGAATTTCATCAAAGTATTAAGTTGCATTTTTTTGAAAATGTTTGTTTTTCTTCCGGAAAATAATCGTGATGAAAATAAAGAATAAAGTTTCAGAACTTCTTAAGAAATTACCATTTTCAGCAAACAGAAATCGTACATGCATAATGCCCCTCATTTTTGAACACCCAAGAATGATATAATGATTATACCCTAATCCTAACAAAGTTGTATTTATTCAGGTTTCTGTAGTTAAGTCCTGTTTATAAATCTGTTTAGTACATAAATCTTCAGGAGGCTCAATAGCCAATGGAATAAGATGCGTGCCTGATAAGCCAAAGGTCCCGGGTTCAATCCGTACTCGACCTAATTTTTTTTTCTTTTGTCGAAGGGCTGTCCCTGGGATATCCTTGGGACGTTCTAGGGATATCCTTTCTCCGTACTCGGTACATCCCAGGGACGTACCAGAAGGACATCCCTAGGATGCCTCTTTTTGTGGAAAGCTGGTGTCCCTGGGACGTCCCTAGTATGTACCATGTCCTGACACAGGATATCCCAGGGACGTCCTCGTAGAAAATGAAGAACGTCCCTGGGACGTACTCCTGTTGTTAGGGTGATAATACCGAGCATACATATAGTGGTATTAGTATGAGAATGGTGGTACCAGACATTGTTATGTCAGGAATACTGAGTTTCGCCTTTCTAGAGAAGATAAAGGCTTGAGTGTTGGTGTCGTTGAATTCAACTAGGTTGTTGGTTCCCTAGAAAGGCAAGATCATTATTGACAGCGATGACCTGCCTCATCGAGAGTAACTGGAAAAAAATTGGGATTCTGGAAGAGACCGCAGTATTGAGATAACTGTCATCTGCAAACCCGTGGATATAGTAATTACTCCCAACAGTCCCAACCGGTCATTGATATGGAGTCCAAAATTGATCCTTGTGGAACGCCGGAATTGATGATGGCAATAGCATCAGACGTTACTCCGTCCACCATCACATGGAACAATATGTCTGAAACTAACCTCGATGACAGAAGGTTAAGCTGAGGTGGAAAAGCCTATGATACTATAGTCAAGGGCGTGTGGCGGTCAGATTAGAATTACCCTATGGTAAGTCCTGCCTGTCGTAGAAGGTGACTAAAAGGACGCCAATAGGTAGAAGATGGCTAACACCATCGCCTGGTGCGATACCACCACATCAACCATATACACTGTGAAATGGGTATATTTACCCGTGTTTCAGTAGCTGGTTGATAACTCTAGCCGACCCAACCTAATCCAATTTCCTTTTCCCTCCACGCCAACCTCCCTTTTCGATACAGGAGAGTGATGATGAGTTCTTTTCAAGTGAAATTATCCGGGACTGAAATACCTCTCCATTCGGATTTCCGGGCGAGAGAAGAGCTAGAGGGGGTTCACCTTTCGGCTGAAAAAGTCCTCAAGATAGACCGTGGTCTGAGCAAGAACATCAACAATGTCCATCAACACCTTTTAGACTGGAAAGCCAGACATATTGGCTCTGACTGAGACACAGGTCAATTCATCCACCAATACGACCTACATGCTCTGTCCTGGGAACGAACTCAACACACGCTTCAGGTTCAATGGAGGTCTTCGCCTCTATTCTGAAACGAATCTCTCATGTCATCGAGAGAAAAATTGGGCACCAAATGAGTTTGATGTTTTGTGGTTCAAACTCGATAGCCAGAAACAGACCAAATATCTTTGTTTTTCTACTTATTACCAAATGATTCATCCTTTGAATACTATCGATTGATTAACTTTGACTTGTCTAATTTGGGCGTCATCAGCATTGGTCTGCAACCTGCCTAGGAGAAGGACAACTCCAAAATCAAACCCGGAATTGTGTTTCCTCAGGCACAAAGCAAGCTATAACTAAATAGCAAAAAGTAAATTGAAAATAAAAAAAACTTGAAAAAAAAAGCTTCTATCCAAACGCTTTTGAAAGCAGAAAATGACATTTTCCTATTAATTTGGAACCATCAACTTATAATCCCCTTATACACAGTTCATCATAAAAGCTTGTCGCAATGATCAATATTCAATTGAATTCAAAAAATTCAAACTCAATAATAATAATAATAATAATAATAGTCTTTATTTTGAGGAATTATTACAATACTATCATAGACAGTAAGGGAATATTTGAACAAAATAGTGTCTAGATCTAGGGTTTTACATTTCCAAGTACTCACTTACATTATATGGTTCTAGGTTTAATAATAGCTCATGTACCTACTTTTGTTTTGAACTTGTTGACATCATTAGAGAGCAATTTAATAGTACTCGGCAATTTATTATACATTTTGATGCAGTTATAAGATGCTTCATGTTCAGTGGCTGTTAATCTATGTCGTGGATACACTAGATTTTTATTCCTCAAACCATAGTCATCATTTCCTACACAATTATAGAACAAGTTTTTATTCTTCACAAGAAAAATCAGACATTCCTGAATAAAAACTCCTATTACAGTAAGAATTTTATTCTCTCTAAATCTTCCTCTGCATGAAACCGCATTTTTCATATTGAGCATTGTTCGAAGCATTCTCTTTTGTAATATAAAGACCCTTTCAGTACAACTACTACCCCCATAAAATATTATCCCATATCTATAAATTGATTCGAAATTTGCAATGTACACCATTCTCAGAACATTCAAATCTAAATAACTTTTCAGGACCCTCATACTATAACATGCTGAACTTTTACAAATGATTTCAATATGGATATCCCAGACAAGGAAGCTATCCAGATGAATTCCCAAAAATGTTGTGCTTGATGAAACATCAGCACTCCTATCCTTCAGTTTGATGACATGTGGCAATTCAGATCTGGCATAATTGGTTTTGAAAATCATAACACTTGTTTTTGATTCATTAAGCACCATTCTATTCATCAGAAACCAATCTTTCGCATCTTGCAGCTTACTGTCAGCAATATTAATAAGCTCTATCATATTCGCAGCCGTTACTAAAATATTTGAATCATCAGCATAGTTAACCAAGCTAGAACATTCATTATTAGGTGGAATAATGCAGGTTAGATTATTTACATAAATTATGAATAGCAGAGGTCCTACTATACTCCCCTGAGGTACTTAGCGATCAACTTGTGTAAATAAACTGGTACTAATTCAATTATGTTGAATCTACCAAGTTTTTATTTTTGAAATTCCGAATTAATCGAATATTCCTTATAAAAAATACTTTCAACAGATGCTATATGGAGTTTCAAGTGAAGGACGGCGAAACTATCGGCCGAATAGAGATCGAACTCTACCACGACTTTGTGCCCGTGACGGTGCAGAACTTCCTGGAGATCTGCAAGGGCGGCGCGAAGGGCGGGTTGACGTACCGCGCATGCCCCGTGCACCGCCTCATCAAAGGGCAGTACCTCGAGACGGGCGACATCACGAAGGGCACAGGAAAGGGGGGTGCGTCCATTTATGGGCCCACGTTCAGAGAGGAGAACCATATGCTGAGGCACAGCAAAGCAGGTGATTTGATAAGGCAGATGAATATTCTTCGACAACAACGAATATTTTTGCATGTCGCGAACTAGATACAAAAATTTTTATTACATTTTTATGCACACTAGTACACATCCGAGTTAATAATGACAACCATGTGTGATGTGATTGAGATTCATCAAAGAAATTTAGGTATCAGAGGAGGAATGAGCCAATGTAACTTGAGATGACACCGTTGATAAACAATTTTTTGTATGATTCTCAGTCCTCACCACTAATACTCTCACCTGATTGTAAGAATATATACATGAATATTTGAAAAATTAATGTCAAATACGGTAAGAGATAGAAAGTTCATCAGATTAGACTAAAATTGCGTAATGTGAACCTTCTCAATAAGACGATTTTCAATTTTGAGAAATAGCCACCCTCCCTCAAATGCTTTGAAAAAATTGAAAATGACTGATTGTGTTTTCATTTATTTTCTTGGTTGATATCAGAGGAAAAATATTGACATTTCGTGTAAGCAGGTAATCAATCATGCCAAAGGAATTGGAATTGCCAAAAATATTCTATCTCCAATATTTTTAGAGATTGACCATGCAACTTTTATTTCTCTTATGGGCGCCATATTTGTTTTTATAACATTAATTAGAGCTGAATATTCTCTCCACAGCCATGTATATAATAAGTTGACATTTTCACATCAAATAGCGCAAAAAAAACAGTAAAAACCTTTTCAAATGTGGTAGGACATTTAGTGTTGTTTCATGTATTGCTCGTGCTTATGTCGAATTATCCAGTAATGAAATTATAAAGTTAGATTGAAATGACATATATTTGATTAGTCTCAATATTAAAAATATGACAAGCTCTCAAAATCTTTTTTTAACAAAAACATCCACATGGAAACCATGAATTCACATACAGTAAGTGCAGGTTGCATTAGTGCACTACATTACTCTCCCTCCTCCAATAAATTAATAACAAAAGATACTTTTTTTGATGGACGAGAATTTTCAGAAATGTCGTTGTCTAAATATGCTGGTTTAGTTCTATCTATTGATACTGGTAATTCAGCACCATTCTTATCTATATAAATTGTTTTTTCCGAGCGACGAATAACTTTGAACGGACCTTCATACGGTTGTCGGAAACATTTTTTAAATCCCCCTAACTGAACAAAAACGAAATCGCAGGTCTTCAAGTCTTTAGAAACAAACGGTTTCATATTATTTCTATGTCGAATAGGAGGTGGTTGAAACTCCTTGAATGTATTTTTGAGTTTGGTTAATATCTCATTCGTCTGACTCAATTCATGGTGAGGTTGAGCAACCAAGAATTCACCGGGAATTCGGAGCGTTTGTCCATAAACCATCTCAGCTGAGGAACATTTGAGATCTTCCTTAATGCTAGAACGAAAACCCAACAAAATGACAGGTAATTCATCAATCCAATTAACTGTATTTTGTCTTGCTAACAAAGCGGCTTTGAGTTGCCTATGGAACCTCTCCACCATTCCATTACTTTGAGGATGCCAAGAGTTGGTATGAATTTTGAAACAACCAAGAAACTTGGTCAATTCAGAAAATATTCTGGAGGTGAATTGTGAACCTTGATCAGTAGTAATACGAAAAGGAACACCAAAGCGAGGGATATAATTATCGAAGAATGTTTTCGCAACTTCACCAGCAGTGATGGATCTTAAAGGATATACTTCCGGCCATCGTGTTAGGCGATCGACAATGGTCAATAGATATCTGTAATTTCTGGAATGAGGAAAAGGTCCTACTGAATCCATATGGATGTGTTCGAATCGACCTTTGGGTACGTCAAATTTCCCAAGCTCAGATTTAGTGTGCTTATTGATTTTGGATTTTTGACATCCAATACATGTTTTGCACCAGATACCTATGTTCTTTGATAAATGTGGCCAGAAAAATCTAGAAGAAATTAGTTTTTTTGTAGTACGAAAACCGGAATGAGATAAATTATGTATAGTTTCGAAAATAGAATTTCTGCTTGTAAAAACCAAGCTTCAGGACATTGGGTCCAGAAAGTAGGTAATTTGAATGAAGAAGAAGCCTGTTCAAAATTATCCGTGTTTTCAGTATGAATTTGAGGATGATCAACCATTCTGAATTTACTGGAGGCTCACAATGAAATGATATGCTATTAAAATAAATGGAACGCGCTGTATAAAAAAACGACGAATTAGGAATTAGGTACTTCAGTTTCTTGACTATAGGCAGATTCTTGTAGAATGGGAGATGATATGTGGTCGATTCGCTGAGAAGTCAATCGACTCTTGAGATTCAGGATGGGGTTCAGGAAATAGAAGGAATCCAAAAATAAAACAGGAAAGCTTTTACCTTGAGGTATTGGTCATCTGGTGGTTAGCTGGACGATTCCGATAATGTATTAAGAACAAGAGTGTATTCCAAAAGAACTCCAACTTCTGCGCTATCTGGAATCGCTGATAACTGTTCTATAGTCAGCAATCTCCAATCGTGTGTTTGTCGGGGTCACCAATTTAGTGTTGTTTCATGTATTGCTCGTGCTTATGTCGAATTATCCAGTAATGAAATTATAAAGTTAGATTGAAATGACATATATTTGATTAGTCTCAATATTAAAAATATGACAAGCTCTCAAAATCTTTTTTTAACAAAAACATCCACATGGAAACCATGAATTCACATACAGTAAGTGCAGGTTGCATTAGTGCACTACAGGCCATACAATAGAATAACAAAATAACAGTCGATCACAGTCATGAATAACACGCTACATTATGACAAATATCAAAACCAAGAATACGAATTGTTCGTTTAATAATCAAGACATTCATTTAGTGAAAAAGTTTGTCTTGGCATGAGTTCCGATCTAGTTATATTCTTATGTTGAAATGCACTATTTTTATCCATATTTTTTTATCATCAATATTTTATGGGTTTGTTGATACACTTACTTATTCTCAAACATTGAATTTGTTATGATAATTAATAAAGACATGCGACATCACGAAGGGCACAAGAAAGGGGGGTGCGTCCATTTATGGGCCACGTTCAGAGAAGAGAACCATATGCTGAGGCACAGCGAAGCAGGTGATCTGATGAGAAAGCTTAATATTTTTCGACAACAATTTTTGAACGAATATTGTTGCAGTTCGCGAAATAGATACAATAATAACTATTTTATTCGGTCGAAATGCCATATGGTAGTATTTTCATACAGACTAGTACACATCCGAGTTATTAATAACAAATATACATATGTGATATGATTGAGGTTTAGAGAAAAAAATTAATAATAATACCTGATTGTTAGAAAATATACATGAATCGTTGAGAAAATAATGTTAATTATCATAAATGTAATGAGGTACTTCAATTCTCAGACTTTTTTGACTTGACAAAGATGGAGAGTTCATGATAAATACTGTCTGTAGGTTAATCGAGACGAGGAGAGAAAATCCCAGATAATCTGGAATAATGAAGTTCATGATAATTTCATCAATACAGGGTCCCAATATAATTTAATAGGGATATTGCTATTTCTTATACGGTAAGAGATAGAAAGTTGATTCGATTAGACTAAAGTTGCGTAATTCGAACCTTTCCAATATGACGTTTTTCAATTCCGAAAACCTCCGCCCTCTCTGAAATATTTTGAAGAAACTGAAGATGACTGATTTTGTTTTCATTCATTTCCTTGGAATATTAGAGAAAAAATATTGATATTTTGTGTGAGCAGGTAATTAATCATGTTGAAGCAGAGATTGGAATTATTGTCAAAAATATAATCTGAAATCTTCAATATTTTCAGAGATTTACCATAAAACTTTTGTTTTTCTTATGGGCATCATATTTTTTTATACCATTGAATAGAGCTAAATATTCCCTCCACAGCAATGTATAAAATATGTTGACATTTCCATATCAAATAGCGCAAAAAAACAGTGAAAACATTTTTAACTGTGGTAGGCCATGAAAATAGGATAACAAAATAACAGTCGTCATGACTACAATATCAATACTTCTTCGATAAAAGCCATCAATAACACGCTAAGTACATTATGACAAACGGCACAGAAAAACTAAGAATACGAAGTTTTCGTTAAATAATTGATGAGACACTATCACAAATAACTATTATTGAAGGTTTTCATTTATTGAAAGAGTGTCCATACAGCAAAAAAAAAGACAAAGCATTGACAAAGTAAGATAGAATGCGTAGAATTGAATGGAGAAAAAAAGACAGGTGGTTGCACCTCCATATTGAATAAGGCCTGGTGAAAAATCAAAAATTCTACAACAACCATTGTCGTCACTTTATTTATAAAGCCACTCTAATCTGATCAACTTTCTTTCTCTTACCTTTCAGAAAATAGCAATACTGTCATTATTAAATCGTTGAGACCCTGTATTCTCACATCAATTATGGGATTCATTATTTGATTGTTCTGTATATTTCAGGTGTTCTTTCAATGAAGCGACTGCCTCCTACCGTAAATAATTCGCAGTTCTGTATCACCTTCACGAGGATAGAACAACTCGATCACAAGAACGTCGTATTCGGGAAAGTTGTGAAAGGGAACGCGACTCTATTCAAAATCCAGAATTATGGCCGAGCGATCGGCAGACCTTATGTTGATATCATTATATCAGATTGTGGAGAAATAAAGTGAATAAATTTTTCTGATTTTGACATGTAATGTGACACGTCTTCGATAGCACCAGTACATCCCCAAAACGTACTGAGAACGTCCGACCAAGACGCTTTGTACGTACTGGGGACGTCCAGATCAGTACCGTAGACGTACTAGGGACGTCCAGGTTCCGTGCATTTCTTCATCCCCAGTACCACCTGGCTACACCTGGCGTTTCTTCGAAGTCGCCGAATTGAATTATTGAAAAAAAATATTTGCAATTATTTTAAATAACGAATGACTGCATCGAATACTATTTAAACACGCAAAAAATAGGTATGTGGCGTGAATTCTATTAGTGTATACAACCCCATTCAATTCTACCTGAAATGGTCCAAAGTGCCATAGGAATGCGATTCAACAAATAATCCATGTGGTGAGGATTTATCCTTTCTCTATAAATCTGTTTTGTACATAAATTCACAGAAAACATGATGGAATCCTGGAATCAAGGGGCCAAGAGACTGTAGGCTTTAATTACAGACCCTTGGGGAATACTGGAATCTTTATTCCAGTATTCCCTATGGATTAATGTTTCTTATTAATACTTTCACTCATGGATTGGATTAATACCATCCCAATACAAATTATCACAAATATGGTTTCTGGAATGTAAATGACTTTGTACCTTCGTTATCAGGACAGAAAAATCAGAAGCACATATAGACAAATCGAGTAAAGGTTTATTCAATTTTCTTTTTGTGCATCAATTGTTATATGAAATTCCACAGGTATAAATTATCAATAATTCATAATTCAAACATTCATGTTATATGCTAAAATCAGTTCCCATCGTTCTCAGTAGTATCAAGTTACCAGCGATAACAATTCCTCAGAACATGATGATCTTGACCGTGAAGTCAGCATCCGCAGAAATGGAATATAATATCTGCTGACGCTGGCATCTGCATTATTTTTAATATAAATTCATTTAAAATTGTATCAAAAAGTCAGTCTTGAAATAAAGCTCATTGTATAAACTTGATCTATGCCCGAATAAATAAAATAGTTTTTAAAAAGTATATTTAGAAAACCACGAGGTAACATTCATATACATGTTTATTTAATTAATTTGACCTTCCTATTGACAACTGGCGTACGACTGACAGTCCCGAGGAATAGTTTGTTCCACTGGGCATATGCAAACACGTTAGATCATTAAATTATCAAGGTGTAGTTTATCTATGTTATCAAGTAGCATTAGCAAATAAGGTTAGGCAACAGGCAAGCAGAAAAGCGAAAGAAAAATAAATGCAAGAAGGAAAAATAAATGCGAGCAGGAAAATATATGGCGTTAACTTGATCAAGCAGGAAGAAAAAAACAGGCAGGATAATTAAGCAGTGAAACAAAGAAAAATACCAAAGCCCGGAAAGCGAGGGCGAGTGCAGGTTTAGTATAAGAACGAATCCTGTTGAGTTCTATACAACCAAGAAAGGCAATTAGCTTCCTCCTAGTTGACCTGGCTTACTGCAAAGCACCCCCGAGAGGTAGCAGAAAGCAGAATAGATGCTGAAGGCCTTGGGCAGGTCAATTAGGCCCGCAGGTGAATTCTGAGACTACATATCGTATCGTTTGAGACGAGAGGAGCGAATTTAAGTCTAATATCATCAACAGTGTATATATATATGTGATATATATCCGGGGGAAAAAGTACTCACTTTTTTTCCACGGGAAAAAAGTAATATATGAAAAGTGACATATTTTATAACCTTCCAACAGAGATTAAATGCCAAACTTTTTTCCCGTCACAGAAATAATAATAATAATAAAGTATACTTTATTGATCATATATGTAAATGTAAACAAACATACAATACAATCAAGTGGCCATTGACCGGCCATTGAGCCAAGAAACAATAATATTTATTGTGATGTAGGTATGTTTTGCATATGTACAAGTAAATTTACCCAGACAGCACCAGATATTCCATGAATCTCCCTATCATATTCCTTTCGGAATATTGGAATATTCTAGAAATAATCTGGAATATTCCGGAATATCTGTGGAATATTCTCTAAATATGCGAATGGGAATTCCTCAGATAATCATAGAATATACCCAAAAGAATATTCTTTGTTGAATGTTCCTGGAATATTCCGATAAACATATTCTAAAATAAAAAAAAAGGTGACCCAAGTAGGGATCGAACTCGTGACCTCAAGACTATCAGAGCAACGCCTTGACCACTAGGCCAGTAATCGAATTGAATAATTTTATACATATCAAGTTCTTGTGAGAGCATTGTTCGAAATCGGATCATAAACACTTTTTGTTTCAAAATCTCCTCACATCTAATTGATGTTCGATACTCACATCTCTGAAATAATAAATGGTATTTATGTGTTGAGAAACATAGGAATAATCATGGAATATTTCATGAATATACACCACAGAATATTCAGTTGAGAATATTTCATGAAAATACCGCACAGAATATTCAGTTGGGTATATTTCATGAATATACCCCACAGAATATTCAGTTGGGTATATTTCATGAATATACAACAGAGAATATTCAGTTGGGAATATTCCTGGAAGATTCATACCTGAATATTCCCTGAACATGTCCGACTATTCACTTCGGAATATTCCTTTTAGATGTTCCAGAGGCATGTATATATTCTAGGAATAATCGATGAATATTCGGAATATACTCCTCTTTTCTAGCATATTTGGAGAATATTCTATGAATATCCAGTGCTGTCTGGATACATATTGATGGGCTGAAAAATGAGGAAAATAATTCATCATCACTATCACTATATTATCATTATATTGTGAAGTAAATTGTTATAATCACAATAGAAATTAATAAATTAAATAAAACTTTTACATAACTAATTATATTTACTTACTAAAGTTTTTTAACAGTTACATTAGACAAGAAATCTGATGATAGGAGAGAATGAAGTTTACTTTTGATCATCAGAGAGTTAACACTTAGTGTCTTCAGAGACATGACAGCATTTTGCATAGTTAGTTGAGAACGAAGCAACTGTTGCTCAATGTTGTTCAGGTTTCTACTTGCTTGGGATATCACATTTTGATAAGTACTTTCAATATTGTTGTATAATTGGATGTTGCAGTCTCCTAAAAAATTTGAACAATATGAATATTAGATTTTCATAATGAAGAAAATCTATGGAGAGTACTCAAAGGCAAAAAAATATTTCAGTCCTTCTATGGTAAGTATGATAATGATAATAATAGGTTATTATAAATGTCCTTTACTGATGACCCCAAACTGACCATTATGGTAGATTTATAAACTCATTCAGATTCCAAAGATTGCTTATTTAATTATAATAATCTAATAGTTTATAGTCCAGTTGATAACTCCACCATTATATACCTACCTACTTATCATTAGGAATTAGTATTAATTTTTGAATCAGCTATGTACTTACTCAGTTTCTGATGGAATAATGAGTCATATGTATTTTCTTCCTCTGGCGTCTCCATTGTACTCTCTGGGTTGAAGTTCAGAGCAGATAGGGCACTGGCAATACTAGCTTCATTTTCTGAAACAAAAATTGTATTTAATTAGGCCTGTACAAACTGGAGTCTAGCATCTAGCTGACTTACCGTTTTCGGATTCTGAATCTTCACCTGTAACTATTGCGCCTTGTACGGATTTTGTCATAATATTCACCTGCAAATAACATATATTTCGCTGTCAATTCAAAAGTATCGACAAAAAGTATTGAGAAATGAATTGATATCTTTTACTTTATCATCTGCATCATTTTCACTATCGGTTTCGGAAGCTTCGCCACTAATTATCACTGGTTTACTCATGTTTTAAATACTAAATACTTTAGAAATCTTCAAATAAATGAAGGAATTAAAAACATTGAATTGGATTTAAATTGGATATTCAAAATAAAAATTTGCAACAAAAACGAGAGACTGTCTACACGACCGCCACGGCGGTTGCATAGTGATATACTGACACAGTGACACATAAGCAACCGCCGCAACGATTTTACTTCCTTCTTCATAGATAGACGTAGACCTCCACGTAGACGTTAAGGTACGAAAAATTAACGTTTACGTATTGTCGTTAAATTGAGTTGAAGTCGTCACTGTCATCATAACGTAATAATACATTTTGTTTTCGGTTTGTATTGGTCATTTTTGGTTTTAAATTCGACCATTTATTCCTGTCAAAATGAGAAGACTCCTTGATGTAGAACTCTTTGGGGATCCCAAATTGATGATTTTGACTCATCGGCATATTTCGAGATATTTAAGGTGTACGTGAAGGTACGTGAGATAACGTACACCCGTAAGCCCACTAACAACGCAAACGTGAAGAATTGGAAAATGCGCATGCGTAGCTGTCAATTTCTACGTTTACGTTAACGTTCATGACAACACTTCATACTTTCATACTCTCCAGTTAAGTCATCTTAACAGGGTACGGACAGATCCTCGTCTCCTCTCACTCTAATAAAGTGTTTGTGGAACAGTTATATAGTTCCATCTTCATTCAATTCTGAGGATAAACACTAGATTTTTGACATTTGTTGTTTTTTAGGTTATATTGAGGTCATTGGCGTATCAAACGTAATTCCCATATAAAATTCCTGATTTAACTATACCAACATATTGTTGAACAATCCTCTATTCTACAATCTACAATCTCTACAATCCTACTAAAAGCTTAATATATTTCACCAAAAGAGACTCTTCTTAGACTGTATACCAGGGTTGACTGAATTGACTGAATGAATTCCGATTTCAAGCTGAGCAGTAGTTTTACTATGAGCTGAATGAGCTGAGACTTATATGATTGAGAAATGGTGAAAACCTCGATGTGGGTATCTGAACCACTGTACTCATGTCATATATGTGCTAAATATATTTTTGGAATTCCAAATCGGAGAAAAATTCATGGAGTGACTAATTCTGGGACGAAAAGAAGGCTTATAAAATGTAATACGTGAAATTGCAGGAAAATAAAGAATGGAATATACTTCACCCCCATGTTATACATTTGATTTTTCCGTCTCCCTTAGATAAATAGTAATTTCCTAAACAAGTACGGAAAGTAATTCTTTCCCGCACGCGACTGCCGTTGACACGAACGACGCGAAGCGGAGTTCGAGCAAGCAGTCGAGTGCGGGAAAGACACTTTCCGCATGAGTTAGGAACAATATTTTTTCTACAATTATTTGTGCATATAGGAACAACTATAGCAAGAGAAATATATTCTCTATCTACTGATTATTAGTAATAGTTATTGTGAACTTACAGTTTGACGCATTACGTATAGGTTCATGGTACATTGCGGAAGCCAGCAGGCCTATAAATGTGTTCGGTCTCTAGGTTTCAGACACTTCTAGGAAATGAGCCAAAACTACTTCTTCTTCATTCGGTATTTGCATTTCTTTATTGTTGCACCATTCAATGAAACGCGTGTATAGCTTCTTATAACTTCCTTGAAACTTCGTTGGCAATATAACGCATCTGTATCGCATCCCTATAGCTGAAAGTTTTTGATCACATTGTGGCAATTCCACTGAATCGAAAATGACAGTAACGCTGTGTCTGTCACTTCGACAATTACAAACTCATTCGAGGTTTGATTGGCATGACAACATCAATAATCGTTTCCCATGAGATCAATCCAATTCTATAGGGGGATTTTCATTATAATCAATTTTTATTTTTGAATATTTCTTAATGTTCACAATAAATAGTGCAATTTGATGGATGATTCTGAACATACATACTCAATACTGCAACGAACAAACTTAAACTTTCATATTCCATCACCTACCACTTATATTTTGCGACATTATTACATATTTGTAGTGGGAAAAAATTTCCCGCATTGTTGCCGGAGAATGACACTTCCCAAACTAAATTGCGTGCGGGTATAGGGGTGAATCACGCACGCTTGTAGAAAAAAGTCATTTCCAAATAATTTATTGATGAAAGTAACAAAGAAGTTATAGGTATACAGTATAACTTATATATGGGCACGTTCTTTCCACTCTTGCATCCTATATATTGTTACGATATTCGGGTGCAGAAGCGAACACGACACTATTTATTCTCGAACTGATTTATTTGAACTAAAGAAACACTTAATTCATATCGAACTTATAAATACTATTTATGTAAAACAATTCATATCACGCGGTATATAACTGTCTCTCTGACACTCGCTGCTCGACTGACTGACGGCAGTTGTTCGGCCGTTTATATATGAGATCCCTTGGAAGGCTTTGGTTCGAACGAGAACGTTCTCGAATGATCTTCCGTCTCCTTCTTTTTGTTCTAGAAGCTTCTCAGAACAAAACCTCTCTCTCTAATTGTTCCATCGATTATTTCCAGAACATTCCAGAATCTTCTGTCACGATATTTGTCACTGCGGCATATATTGAGTGTTCGGAAATATGCTGGTGTATGTAGGAATCATTGGGAGGTTGGAGAACAATCTGGGATGCATGTTACAGGATGATCGTTGTACTCCTGTCTTACTGATGATGTTTCTAGAGCCCCCTAAGGGAAATATCATTACAATATTCTCAATTTGAGGTAGAGTAATGATTATATAAAGTAATGTTAAAAGTGCAATTTGAGCAGTGGTTATTTGAATACCACAAGAAGTGAGATCTGGAGCCAATGCAGTTTTCGTGATATTTTCATAGAAAACTTCAGTGACCCACAATTTGATTCGAAAAATTTTGCTATTTTGTGAGAGATTGCTGCACATACCCTTCAGCGATATTCGTAGACTTCCAAGTAAGAATGTTTCCTCCAGAATTTGCAAGTAAACTTGCCGAGGTTTTCCCAGTATAATTTATGACATCAGGCAGTTTTGAAAATTATGCAATTTTTTTTTATGAATTTTAGCAATATAATTCTTTCCAACCATTTGGTACATTTTCCTGCTCTATAGCAGACAAATAAACGTGTCTGGTATATTGACTATTGAATACCATATGACATCACTTTAAACTTTTCCACCCAAGCGAGAACCATTATACTTCTTCTCTGCAAACTGACGTATTTGTCATCCAACAAAGTACAGGCAGATCATAGCTCCTTCCTCTTTTACTCATCTAGTGACTTTGGTTTCGTGTATTGGCGTTACTGTTATCGTTAAAAGAGATCTTACAAAATTTCAATTTCATACTTGATCTTAATATACGACATTATTCAATTCTGTTTTGGAAGGATGGTAAAATGTGCTGTGTTAGGCTATATCAATCAGTTGGATAGCAAATTTGAATTGGTCAGCTCACCTTCAAATGCAAATGAACTCAGAACATGGAAAGTGAACTGACCTAATGGGAAAAATTGTAAAACATCAGCAAAATATTTGAGGTAAAACTAATCACATATCATACTTTCTCATTGTGCCTATACTTATATCCACTCTACAATTGTTGAATGCCTTTTAGTAGAAACAGTTTTGATTTAATCGGAGGGTTAAAAGAAGAGGCATCTGCCTTACCATTCAAAAAATTATACCTACAATCAGAAAATATAAATGTTCGAAAAAACAGCACACATGACATATGAGCACATTAGTTTGAATACAAAATTTGCAAAAAACGCTTACCGCGCGATAATACCTAGGTAAGCAGTATCGAAATGTACCGACCATTTCTTTTGCGGAAAATTGCGAACCTAGCATCGATTCCCAATATAAATAGTACCCGAGTCGATAAGGCAATCATTCATTATCAACACAAGTCATTTCAGTGATCATCAAATGGGAATTGTTCGCCGTCTCCTCAACTTCAAGTTATAATGTGAGTACCTACTGTTTTTTTCCAAGTGTTGTTTTACGTTGTTCTTTTTCCTTTGATAACCTGCCATGTGGCAGCATTTATTCATGACCTCTTCATTTATTCAATGAATGTTAATTTTATATGTAAACTGTCCGGTCCCTTTATTTGGGGATGAATATGGTTGGGTGGTGAAATGATCGATACCTCTCGTCAAAAAGCCAAGCAAGTAGCTAAGTCCCGACCTATAGGAGGGTCAACATCTGAGTTGCGACAATATCTGATTATCTCGTCCAAATTTGGATATTCGAGAGGATCCGATTCTATTCAAAATTTGTATCTGGAGTTTTCGAGGTCGGAAATCATGATCAATTCGTCAAAAAATAGAATTTTGATTGTGATTCGATTTCATTCAACATTTGTAACTGGAGGTTTTCGGGGTCGGAGATTATGATTCCTCCGTCAAAATTAATTAATTCAAGAAGGCGCATTTGATATGGCTGACGATTGTTGACATTAAATGGTCAGATTTTATTCAGAATTTGTATCTGTATTAATTAAAAAATTAGTGTGTGGGGTTTTCGAGGTCGGAGATTATATGTATCATAATCAAAATTCACAAGTTACATAGATTTCACTTTGATTGACAATCCCCATCAAAAACTGAGAGAAGACAATCAGAGATTCGAATGAGGGCTAATCTTCTTAGTGTCACCACTCACCTGTTGGCGTTCCTAGAGCATGAGGTCAATGTAGGTCTGTCAAAAATCCAAAAAATTCTGCCGGATATCCCTAAATTCCTGAAGGCTATGACCTGTTTTGTCGAAAATATTCGGAAAACATGATGTTGTCTACTTGAACGAATAAAAGAACTGAAAATATGAAATGACTTGAGCAGACCTGCTTGACCTCACGTCTTAGTAACGTGATCTGGTGGACAATAAAATATTGACCGCTGATTGGTATAAAAATGTGTCTCGACCGAAAGTCATGGTTACTTCTTACATGGTTTTAGCAGGTAGGGTTGGCGACACTGACAAGTGGCAATCG